TCGAGCTTCCGCGATTGTGGTGCCTAATGAGGGCGCTCTCGCTTCTATTCGTCCACAGACCAATGCCTTATTCCAACTCCTGAAAGAATGTTTTCTGAGGGCTGAGGGAGGGGGGGCTCGCAAAGGAGTAGCCTAAGCCCTGCCAATCCTCAATCTCATGGATACTCGTACAGGGTCTGATACAGCTATCAATGACGGCCTCCTCCGACACATCTATTTGGGTAGGGAATGACCCGTGGTGTATGTCGCTTCCAGGATGTGTCGGGCGTTCAACAATGCTTCCGGGCGGCTCTGGATGACTCGTCGGATCGGCTGCCCGATGATTAGGACGTATTTCCTGTCTCGAAAAGCTCGACAGCCGGGACTGGTTCCTCAGAGTTTTCATACCGCAAAGCTCTCCTCACGACTCAATTCTAGAGATGTTCTGAAGTCCTTTTTATGAACGGATGGATTGCGGATCGCATCAGAGTACCGATCAGTTGGTACGCACCCACGGGATCGCCCAGCTGACCGTTCCACAGGAACATTCAAACTTTAGCAATCGATGGCAGGGATCATCTCCGAGGGAATACGTGTGAACGTGCATAAAGTGGCTGACTGAGTTCTGGGTTTTCTCTCAATGACGAGGAACACGAGTCGGAGGGGACGTCCTCCGCTCCGGGCGCCGACAAGGCTGAATACGCCGTTGCAGGTCCTAAAGTGGACATCTAAACGTCGTCAGGAATAGGAATGCTGACCTACTCACCCGTCGGCGGTGGCGTTTGGAGAGATTCCAGAAGGCTTTTCAGTGCCACTCGATGTAGCTGATGGATCACAATCACCTGCCACACTGGATTCCTGTGGATCTGCAGCACTTGCTTCTACGATACTTTGAACGACGTCTGAGTCAGATAATGCGAGATATGACAACATCAAGGGTCGAATCGACGATCAGTACGCGGGATGCAATCAATCTCACTCAGCTGGCCTTATCTTCCTGCCGAACCGCACCTTCCTGAATACTTCGTAGCAAACGGTGAGTCTTTGATTTTCCGCCTCAGTCTGCTCGTTGCGCTGACCCTTCTCAGTGTGCTCGATGCCGCCACAACGACAAACTGATGGAGAAGAGCAAGAATGAGTTCTCGATCATCGGTTCCCACAAATGCTGCACGTGAACCCTGACATTCGAGGTCGGCTCGATCTGAAAGAGCTCGACGAAATCCACGGTATTCTATGCAGAACAATGCTTACTTTTCGATTCTAGCGAAACGCCGGAAACCGTACACAACATCCAAGCTTGAGTCAGAGAGTTTTCGAGACGGGCGCTCAACGGCTCCAAGCTGAGGGAAACCAGTGGCTTTCATCAAAGGACAATGAAAGCAGGGTTGATTTCCAGTAGGGAAGGGGCGAGAAAAGGAGCCTTCAGGGATCGGACCAGCGAGCAGGCGGCTGACGGACCGACGACTGGCGCGGGCTCCTCCTCCCGAGCCGCTACAAGAAAAAGGCGGGGCCAATTTCCATATGAAGGGAGATAAGTCCCCCGCTAGCGCGACCATGACTGCCATCGCTGCCACCACCGATGTTAAGTTCATTCTGATGCATTAGTAATTGTGGAAACACAGTCGCATCGATGAGATCGTTCTACTCTTCTTAGCAGCGCAACGGATTTTCTAGCTTTCAAAGCTCATAAAAAGCGTCTAGTCCGCATGCACGTTTCGCAAGGAGGCATCGGAGCTCCAATCCGCTCCATTTCTACCAATCAATCACTCGATGCTCGACTCGATATACCTATATGGAAGGCATATCTCCCTCCGTACAGGAGTTGGATTTCCGAGGAATTGACATGGGAACCTGTCTGTTCGCACATTGTCCGCCGTATTCCAAGTCGCTGAACGTAAGTGAGCGTAACTGACGTCGTAACGTTACAAAGTTCTCTGAGCAGAGCTTTCCGTTGTCCCTCACAGACAAATCACATTCGGAAAGATTCCAAGGAAATGTGCGTCAATCTCGAAGTGCTCACGGTTCCGCATCAGATGACGATACCTTCGACAGGAGCGCTTGCGTCCCACACGGCTAGTATTCGATATGTCTGTCGAGCCAGTCTTCAGATCTTCGGATGATTGAGTGGAGCGAAATCATGCTGCACGCAGAAAACTGCAAGGCGATCCTTCCGGACTCGACTTTCGGAACAAGCTGATGAAGCAGCACAGGCAGCTTCGCAGCTAATGAATAGGCACAGGCTTTCCCAGCTCTCGCCCGTGAGCGAACTCGTGTCTGAGTGGAAGTCTGCGATGCTCGATTGCTACGATTTCGTCGACTGCAATCTATTTCTTAGTGAGCTCCTGAGCCAATTCCGTATTTCCTACCAGTGAAGTTGATGGCCCCGAATTCGTCAAGCCTCCTCTTGAGGGAATCTGGGAGCCAGTTTCCTGTGGTCAGAGTAGAGAGCACGAAAGACTCGGGTGAGGTCGTGGCAAAGGGCAATCTGCGGTATAAGGATCTTCGATAGTGAAGGTGCGAAGGATAGAGACATGCGGAGTCTTTGGGTTGTGCGCATACGAATTATCTTGAATCGTCCGTGGAGACCGCAATATCCAGTTGAGGTCCCATCCTCAACCCAAGTCTAGGCCTTCCGGTGCTCGGAAGCCTGACTGCAGATGACCGCCGTAGCGTGACCGCACGAGGAGGACTTTCCCATGTCGCTTTCGAGCGCCGACCTCGATGAGAACAGTACCTTGCTCTTTTATTCCTCGCCGGCCCCTTGAAAATCACGACCATTCCCATGATCGCCGCCGCCGCCGTGAGGGAGCTTGCTCGCGTGGAGCGTGGACAAATGGGAAATGCCGCCACAGCGATGAGTCGAAACTCACTCGACTGATTTACAATTTTTTGACCTCCTCCAGCTATGTTCACATTTCAAACACAGAAAGAGACCCTAACGTAAGGGGCGGAGGCTCAGCTGGATATCGGCGGATGCTGTTTTGCGATTTGTCCGTCGAGATTGTCGATTTCCCCTTTTTTTGTTCTTCAACTCTAGACTTCCCTTCTGAAGTTGCGAATCCTATTGCGGCACTCCTGCTAGGATCGAAGCGGAATCACTTCTCCTCCAGAAAATCGTTATGACCTCTAGTATCAGGTGTATCCGACCGTGCCTTTTCGGGTCTATGAGATCAGTACCAAGTCGTCAGCCAATAACAATCCACTAATCGGAAAATGTCTCTGCCGCTCGGTGCGGAATAAGTTCCCTGGCAGTCTCACCATAATACGACTCCTTTGTGCTGGAGCTTCGATTGGAGCCCGAATAATCTCAAGATGAACAGGATCGGAGACAGCGGGCAACCCTGTCGAAGTCTTTTTCCGTTCGTAAAGTTTTGGATTTGCGGCCATTATAATGATAGGCTACTCTGTTATCGGAATATATAGAAGTTTCATTAGTTCTATGATGGGTTTTCTCTCCAGAACTTCTCGGAGTCGTGCCCTGTCAATCCGACCGGACAGGCACGGGTGTGGGCCAAAAAGCAGATTATCTCCAGCCTAGCAATTTCGATGGCGGGAGTCAAGATAAAAATGCAATCTTATCCTCTCCTGTCTTTTCTGGAGCCACATTGCGTTTCACCGATTACCTCCGCTTGTTGCATCCGATTCTGCATCTCTCGGCCGAGTATCCGCGCAAATAGCCGGTACGCACCCTAAAGGCGATGGGGCCGTATTATACTCAGTCAGGGACTGAGCGCAGTGAATAAACATATGTAGGAACATGTGTGTATTCCATCTTATTCTGATGCCTCGGATTAGTCTCCGACGCATCGAGGCTCGTCGGGCAAGTACGGATCAAGCCGATCCCGCAGTATTTCCGAGATATCATTATATAACCCGCAGAGATTGCCGATTCCCTCAATTAAGGCAACGTGCCACGGCACGTTTCAAAAATACGTCCATGGACAAGGAGTTCGCTTGAGCCTGCAACGAATGCGACCGTTTGTTGTTCGAGCGAGACTTGAAGACGGCATCCCCTCCATCAGCTGGAACATCGTCCCAGACATGCAGGGACAGAGTTCGGATCATGCTCTAATTGTTCAAAGGTTTGACGAACTCACGAGGTCTCGTCCATGATGAAGATACGTCTCCTCGCATATATCCTCATACGCTCGAACATCTCGTGCGACAATCATTATACTAGCATTTCGAAACATTGTGAAACCTTCCTCATACGACCAGCCGCGGTGCACCAGGAAAGCGGCCCGAGGCGGCATTCAAAACATGTATCGCTGTTTGCGGTCAACCGAAAAATAACTTCGAAGTTATGGAAAATCGAGAATTCGCGGACCGATTGATTGGCAAGAGTCTGGGGTCAGGGTTTCGTGAAAACGATTCCTAACTCAAGACAGCATTGGGCTGTGCGAGAGAAAGACTTGTTCGCAGTGATTCGTCAGCGCGGAGCTCGGTGAGCCGACTGCGTTCCTCACCATTAGCGCGAACGAAACTCACTAGCCGAGTCTGCCACGTATTCCCCACGGCCTTCCCGAAGAATACAAATATATGCGTCGAGATCGAGATACATGAGAACGATGTTTCCGAAGAGCTCGACTAGTGCCCGGAAATGCGGTTGCCAGCGTAGTTTATTACAACAAATTGGTGAATGCAATCATGACGATTATGCTAGGGTTAGAGAGGGATCCAACCGAGCATATATCCCAATCGATGCCGCGTACGGTACAGATGATCAATGATCAGCGATCTGTGTAGCGTCGATAAGGCCGACATGAGTGACCCGCCAACGATAAAGGATTGAACCCACTCCCTTGCATCCACGTGCACCGGTAGAAGAAAACAACATTGTCGTTTCGATATTCCGTATCGACCGATGTCAACACGGGTCTTTCTGCCCCTGACTGAGTAAGGATGACGACCGAAGGAGGGGTTCCGATACAACGCAGATTTTGGTGAGGTTCGCACGCCTTCCCACCGGTTGTGCTTTCGTACTACCTGCTGTTTCAAATCGAGCTTCCCTTGGTTGGTCATTACTCGACGCTACTGTGATCGAATACCCCCACCCGGTGCTCGCCGAGCTTACTGTGACGAATGCCATGGGATACATAAAGCACGAATCCGGCAGCCATCCAATAACCCAAACGCTCCCAGGCTGCCTCTTTCAGCGTTGTCATCAGGAACACGTTGCAGAATATGCTGACAATCGGGAGGAGAGGTGCCAAAGGCATCTGGAATCCGAAAATTTGGTTCAGGATTCTCGCTCTCCGCGGTCAACTCTGAATAATTTCAACGTTGAACGGAAATCAGGGCAACTATACGGCAACGACTAGATTTCTTTGCCATCATGTTCGATTGCCCCCTCGACGAGAACCATGTAGACAACGAGGGTTTCGTAGTTTTTCCGCGACGAGATCAAAGATGCAGAGAGGACGTGATCGGACTCACCTTGTATTTATCGTCATTTTTCCTCTCAGCCAAAGGATAGAGGAATGCCGCGCACAGGAGAATCGACGCTCCACAGGTTCCAGCGATGTAGGAACGAGCGGTCAGACCGAGTGACGAGTGAAGAGCGAAACCAGTTCCGAACGAGGAAATTAGAACAAGGACGAGGACGCACATCACCAGCTCTCGCTGGCTGATTCCGGATGGGTACAGACACCTCAGTCGCCCGGCCCACGGCTTGAGAGCGAGAGTCCGTTCCTTGTCGCGAATGACCTCCTGGAAATTGCCCGCTCATCGCACTTCTTAATAGCCTCGGAAATACGGGTGCTGAGGTGCATCGAGATCAACATGCCAACCTCGGCTCCGCGACGCGGTCCCACCTCAGCATCATCTTCTTCCGTGTGGCGTACGACCAGAACAGCGAAAGCCACGAGAAGATACGCGAAAAGTGTCCCGATCGAGAGCATTTCTATGATCGCTCCAACATTGAACACCACAGCCGTAGCCGCCGCGAATAGAGTGCCGAGGAGCATGGATATAATTGGAACCTGGAAGTAATTTCCAATGAGAGCATCTATGGTAGTCCACGAACGCCTGCGATGACATTACCTCCAGCAGGATCGAAACTCAATGATGCCGGAAAGGGGCCTCAGGAAAACATCTCGGGACCGTCATTGGGTGCAGTATCAATCTTCACTTCGGTCGAAAGCGGTTACTCCTGCATTGGGAAACCAGTGAAACCGCTCCGTAAGCAGTCGGCCGCCAGATTCTTACTTTACGATAGGTTTTCTGCAAAGCCGTCGGCAGCAAACCGTCATCGGCCATTGCGTAGATCACTCGGGATACTCCGTAAATTGTACCGATGATTGCCGTAGCCATGCAAATCATCGCCCCGATCGAGACGGTGGCCTGCGCCCACGCCACCTCATGGTATCCAAGAGCATCGGGAATACCTGAAGAGTCGGTGGAGAGTGTTTCATTTTTCTTCTTGGCGCCACGTCGATCACCTCTGCTTCGATAACATTTCTTTACCTGAGCTCCGGTGTATGTTGTAGTATGGCAACATGAGGGTGAGAACTGCCGAAACAGCAATGTACACGACTGAAACAACAGACATTGTGATGAAAGTGGCCGCTGGGATCGCTTTCTTGGGATCGCGTGCCTCTTCTCCAGCCGCTGCCATCCCGTCGAATCCCACGTAAGCGAAGAAGCATTGGGATGAGGCCTGCGAGGAAGCAATCAACTCGAATAATTGTTCTGCTGTCTGAGTGGATCCATCGATGTGGAAAGAATCTAGAATCCATCACTCGGAACCTGAGATCATTCTAATTATAGTTTCATTCGAACTCACGGCGAAAACACCTTTCCAACCGAAAGGCAGAAATCCGTTTATGAATCCCTGCGGTTTCGGATCTCCTTCTCTATACTCCCAGTTGCGGAGATCAGCGAACCAACCCCCCACGCCGAGAATCACAGCTATGACAGCGATGTTGATGAAAACGAGGATATTATTGAGCCACGAGGTTTCCTGTAGCGGGGGAATCGAAGATACTTACTCTCGAGGCTTCATATTGTACACTCTCGTCGTGCCCCGGGAACTCAAGGGCATCAATGATTGGGGCATGTAGTCGATTGAGTCCTTCACCTTGGCGCCCAGCATCATGAAACCGAGGAAAGCCACTAGAATCATCGCTGCCAAGACGTTGGGATAGTGACCAATGAAACCATCAGAACCTGCTTCCAGGGTACCGAACACCTCGATCGTCATGTTGGATATAGCTCCCCCGACCAGCGAATCGGCGTATTCGCTACACGACCTCGCTGTAAAAAAAAACATGTTCCACCCAGCCAAATCAAATGACTAGGTACTCGATCGAGCTGGAATCACTAGAGGCATGGGCACAGCCACGGCCTGAAAACTGATGCTGCTCTGTGATCGCATCGGATGCCGATCCATTGATCATCAATTCATCCCATTTCAGCAGGATCCGGCTGAGTTCTCCCACATCCCTCAGATCGACCGCAGAACTTGGCTCCCGTTTCCCATCGAAGACGGCCAAACCGCTCCGGACGAGGCATATGGAGTACCTACATATCAACGACTCAGGTTGCCGACTGTCAATCGATCTTACGCGGCTGAGCCTGTACAGCGGGAAGTAGGGACACATCCGGTGTCTGACAAGGAAGAGTTCTGAGTGCTCCATGTGCTTCGGATCCGCTCCGATGCGCTTCCTCGTATGGCATAATTGAAGCTATCCGGCACGAGAAGGGTGCTCCTGAATACGTATGCGTACCGAATAATCCCCACTCGATTCCTCCGGTCCCCGCTTCCGCTAAAGCGTGAGGTATGCCTTCCTCATTCTCGAGGGGGGAAATAATCGATTCCAACAGATGCGCCTTTCGAAGCCATCCACTCCCGAGCATTCTCAGTCAAGTAATTAGGCACTGAACGGCTGTCCGATGGGAACAAGAGATGATTGAGCAAGTTGAGCTGGACTCGGTGATGTGCACCGTTCTCGTGCTCTATCGGGAATTTAGTTTCTAGCCAAACTGTGTGGGTGCTTCTCGGAGTTTGAGTGCCGCCTCGAGGATGGATCCTGAGAGCGAATACATCCAGAGGGATCGAAGCCGGGTACCTGCGCTCCACATAGGATATTTTTCCGGCAGCAGCGATTCAACTCACGGAACTCACGGCGCCGGCGTCATAAGCTCATGCCTGATCGCATTACACGTGGCGAACAGACCAACCTTCCGACCGCAAGTCGTCATCTTAGGCCAGCAAGGACAGAATCGTCACACCTCGAGCTAGAGGCTGTCACATAGCTACCCACGAAATGGCTCGACGCAGTATTGAGTCATAATTGATCATCTTATCCATAGTGTATGGAGATAAACGAAGCATAAGGATAGTAATCGTGGACGCGTCGGATTCAATCGTCGGATGTGCCCGAGCACTCATGTTCTCCTCGTGACGCATTTCATGCAGACGAAGACTCAAATCTGGGTGCGGGGACGCAGTGAGGCTCATACATCTTCCACAGAAGTAACGAATCATTCTCCACGATAAGGACTTATCCGCAGATCGCTCAGCGCCAGACTGTTTTGAAATCCCCCGGTTCTCTCGGGGCAGTGGACACATTGTAAATGCCCCCATGGAAAGATACCGCGTGGATCTGCGGGATTCGTTCCTTGAAACAATGGGCGCTCAACGGGAGGAACTCGGTAGAGTATCACGGGGAGGACATCAAAAATCGCTCAAACACGTCTTGCGCCAGGCCGGTCTCCAGATGCTTCGCTCCCCAACGGACCAGCGCCCGAACAGCACTCGCCCAGATAGACCGGCGCCGAACAGGCTGACGCGGAAAAAGGGTGACCCCCGAATGGCTCGCGCCTAAAGCGCTGCGCCCGAATTGGATACACTACAAGAACATGCTGAGAACGAGGCTCTCCCGTTGAGTCGATCAGTTGCAAGATGTTCGCTTGTCGGGGTCGTAGGGAATCCATTCGGGCTAGCATGCATCAAGTTCGCTGGGCCCTCGCAGAGATCCTCACTACGCGAGATACGAACGGGTGAACAACGGTGCCAGAAGAGACATCGTCATCGACAGAAAGTCGGTCCCGACAAGTAATGCGCGGCACGCCTTTGCTATGTGAGAGCCCGGAGCAGCGGCGGATCCAGAATTCCTCCGAAGGGGGAGGCGATCAATGTATTGAGGGGGCGGATTGATGCCTAAGCGTTACTTGAACATGGGAAGTACAGGTCGGAGGAACGCGCGAGGGAGAGGCGATTCTCCCCCTCCTGGATCCGCCACTGACTCGGAGAGCGGAAGCTATCGGAAGGATCACTGGTGCAGGTCCATTTGATCAAGACGGCTCCCGCGTTCGTACGCCATCGCCTCGCCAATGTTCGTTGTCAAGAACGCGGAAGCCTTTCAAGACGATTTTTCGCGCAGCTCTCAAGCGTAGTTTAGTCCACGGAATCGGATCTCATTCCTGTTTATAATCAAATTTTGCTTGCCGCAGAATCTCGACACCGAGCAGCTTCTAACTCACCTGTCCAGATACGAGACAATCTGCCTCGACTGCACGTCGTAGCGCAAAATTATTATGAGTGAAAACGTTATTCCGGTTTCCGGGGGTAGAGGGAGGGTTCCTAAATATACGTCCGCATTCTGTACGATCTTCTCGGTTTCCTTCCCCCTCGCTCCCGAGAGGGTCTCACCTCATGGATGCAATTCGTATGCGCATCGTTCCCCATGCCAGAGTAGCGTGGTGGAAGCATCAAATTATCCCTCCCCACTGCCTGTTGACATTTTTCAATTTTGACTCGGGAATAAGGATTTCTATCCTTCTGCATATAATTTTCCCCGTTCGACAGGGCGACGCCCCGGACACGAATTCCGGAACGGGAACTTTTGGAGAGGAGGAAACCCTCTATTATCTGCTTATTGAGGCGATGAACTCCGTTTCATAATCCGCGCCTTCGGAGGCCACCGCGGTACTGCTAGATGACTCGTCTGAACTCGTTCCACCCTGTTTCTTGATCCCCCACTCATATTCTTGACCGCTGTTTCAGCGGAGTCATTGACCGGCCTCAGGAGAAATCTAACCGTATTGCAACCTGAAGATCACCGCCGCTTAAATGAAGATACGTGGCTGGGAATCGATGCGGAGTTTGTCAACTTGAACAGAGAACTCTTTGGCCTCCTTTATGTGAAAATGCGTATGCCGTGGAGATCTAATTACTTTAAAGTTGTCGGACGAATGAAGAGAGAAAGCTCCGTCGGGCGAGGATGCATCTAAAGGTCGCAGACTACCCGTAGGGGTTGAACTCCTACTGAGAGAGCGAACAGTGCATTCGTTCGTGACGGTGGTCTCCATGTTGCGGTACGATCAGATCTCTCCAGAGGCCACTCGAGGGCCCCGCGGCCTAGAACGTCGGGACATCGAAATTGATCGACAGCACTTTCCCTGGATAACGCCATGCGTGAATCGGTCTAGTGATCACGCAAACTTGAGAGCGCCTCGGTTCTCTGACAGTAGCAGTGAACGGCAGGAGATCCTAGAGACGGAGATGACAGGTGCAAATCCGGTCGATTAGAGTGAGCCGAATCGAGACCTCAAAACATGTGAGTTGTCGTCGGAATCGCTCGCGGTGTCCCCAAGTTATTCGTTGTTAGGGTATTGGTTTGAAACCATGTTCCGCAGGCCTGGCCGGGGGCGAAGGTTGCCGTTGAAGAACTTGATGGGCAAGCATGGTATATGGCTCTTCGAACAGCTGAAGAAAGTGTCTCGCGTAGCCTCCAGCCACCCTCCACCCTTTGGACAGGGGATATTGGTTCATAATTCATGATGTTCTTTGGGTATCAGATCGAGGAAAGCGATTCCGGTATTCATTGGCGTTGTAGCTCGCATTCTTCTCCGTGTAGGTAGAGGAAAAAGGTCGCGCCGGAGAACCCTACTGACCCCAGGGGTCCAGATATCGTAGGTTTGAATCTCCGGTCCGGAAGATTCGTCAATGGCAGACGCCTCCGGGTTCGGCTGAGAGAAGCATCCGGCTCAAATCGGGGTACTGAGGTGTCGCCTCTTCACACACTATTGACTCTTCGGGGCGATGATGTAGGCCCTGGTGATTATTCACAAAGAGAAATCCGGGAGCCTCCGATCCTGGAGCCCCGCGTCTCGTAAACCACTTCCCCCTTTCTCGAAGCACGCAAGACCTGCAGAGGTTTTGTTTGTGCAAATCGAACGTCCCTTGAAAGCGCCCTAAGGCACGATGGCTTGACTGAAGTCACCTCGAAAAGCCGATCGGAGGGAATTCCCCCATTCCCAGCAGAGAAGTCCGTTGTCCAATACAGATTGCTAAGGACAGATCCAAGCCGTACTCGAAGATGAGCTCGTTGCTTCTCCCGGAAATCTCGAGGCTCCCCGTAAGCCTAGATGCCATCGTCAATGGAAGATGCCCATCCGGTTCTTGTATGCCTTGGGGTGCAAGTCTATAAGAGCATGCCCCTCCATCAGATTGCGTTCGGTATTCATCGGAGTCTTGATTCGGAAAGTCATGGCTGTCTCAGCATTTCCCACTGTAGCCTAGGTCTGTTGAGCGGTCTATACGGAATTTGAAGTGGAAGAGCCATCCGATGCTTCCTAATTCCTGAAAATGAGGGAGGGGAAATGGAAACACTCGATCCTTACCAAGGTGGCTGAATGAATGTTTCCAGTAATCCCACCCCCATGCAGAGGTCGCTCCAAGTCCAGATTCGACACAGTCGGCCAAGTCTGCTCGTGCTGAGCTCAGGAATGAGGAAAACTCTCAACTCCCTCGAAATCCGAGAAAATCCGCGACCCTGGGAATTTTTCCGCCCTCTCGGAGAGCGATCCGGAAACTTCGCCGAACACTCTCTCGCGAAGGAGGACCCGCACCCTTCGAACACAGTGACCTTCGCGTAGTCTCTGAATCCACTGCAAACACTCTCCGGTGGAAACCCGTGATACCGGTGACGGAGGCGGATTCCCATTCATGAGAGGTCTTCTCCAGGCTGTTTCTCCCTCTCCGGAGAAAAAACCTTCCCGGAGATACTTCTCTTCCCTGGTTGCGCTAAATGAACATCGCGAAAGAATCGTCAGGGGCTTCGACGAGAAATCTCCATGGAAGCTCAGAGAGCTCGAAAACCTATCTGGTGCGGACTATCGCTGGGAGCGCAACTTCACGATTTCGGCTGCCTTGAGAATGAGGGAAGCGAGACATACTTCTTCCTCGCGTTTTCCTCAAGCCGGCGACTCCACGGAGCCCGAGATTCGATATAGCCAAACTGCCCCAGCGTTGGCCCTTATAATAATCCTAGGCTCCCTAGACATAACTATGTCGTGTAACAGACGAACGGGGGGTCGGCCGCCGGAGGAGCCTGTAATCCTCAAGCGAGAAGTACTCACCAGCCATAAACGCATTACCGACTTCGCGGTATAAAGATGACTTACAGCAAAGCACGTGATTCCCGGAGATGAAGTCTCCGCAAAAAGCTACTTACCGATGACTGCTAGAGAAAGCACATTTTCCATGATCACATTCCAACCAACGAAGAAAGCCATCAATTCGCCGACGGAGAAGTAAGTGTACGAGTACGCAGATCCAGCCCGAGGATATCGCACCGCGAATTCGGCATAAGCTAGAGCCGCGAATAGAGATGTGATCCCAGCGATCATATAGGAAATGACGAGAGCTGGACCGGTGTAATCGCGCGCCAATTCAGGTGAGAGGACATAAATGCCTAAAGACCACGGATAAGTTTCCTATAGATTCAGAAAGGGTCGATCTCCAAGATCTCAAGCCGTGGAGCCTCGGAAATTTTCGATTGGAAAATTGATATCATGAGCCAAATCCGCCACTCATCAATTAGTAGAATCAGACCCTGCGTACTCGCCTGAGCCAAGCATATTCCCGATGCCGAGGAAGGCCACATCCAAGGTTGACAAGCATCTCCTGAGATTCGTGTCAAGAACGTCTGATTTGAGATCCTTGAGGCGCACCATTCTCCGCAGATAATCCGTGATTTTGAAGTGGTTCCACATTTCGGGCGGCGCTCGGAATCCGGTAAGCTTCAGCTAGCCCGCAGACGGAATTGAGATGACGGAGAGAAAAACCTGTCAATTGCATGAGTTCTCGGATTGCGAGTTCGAGCTTAGGCCGACCGCCTGTAGCTCGGTCCACGGTCGTGGAACTGCGCACGGAGAGGAGCGCGTGGTTCTTTTTGCTCTCTCCTCCAGTGGCCACCAGACTAAATACTCCTCTCGTCAATTCATTCACTCTTTTTGCATTTTTTTTTAACCCGAGAGGCGACTCTGACTGAGATTCGTTATCTATGTTTGGTACACATCCAGTCAGAGCCGGATTCCGGATATCGGGAATCGCATCCTCGCTCACGACCGCCCACGGAATCGGCCGGGCTACTTCATCGTTAGCTCCCGGGGTCTCCATGTTCGATTCTAAATGTCTCGGAATCAGTCACTCAGGCCCCGCGATAGAGATCGTCAATCACCTGCCTCAGCATTGAGGCAAGAAGCAGCTGGCGCATGTAGTACGAACATTGGGACTCTGGCAGGGTTTCTTGCAGATCGGGCTTCGGAGCATCGCGTCCGGAATGTATGCCGAGGCCCGAAATCAGACTGACTCTCTTCGATTGGTGTGAATCTTCCAATTGGTGACTGTGCGCTCGGTCTGATGGACGCCACAAGGAAACGCGGTCGCTCCGGCAAACAGACATGGCACTGAAGTATTATCCAGACCCGTCGCACAGCGCTTAAGACATCGACTGGAGAGCGTTACTGTTTGCTCAAAATCTCGAACCGACTTTACAGCTTGTCGAGCTCCGCCGCCTTGTCCGGAATATGATGAGCTTTATGGATATCCAATATTATACCCGAGGAGCTCAACCACAGGGAGTCATCTCGCATGTTCCTTGAGCCGTGGAGAAGGAATCGGGATTCACTCACTTGCTGCTGTAGACGTTCGGTACGCAGAGGTATGGTCAGTCGCTCTAGGGATCCGTTGAATTAAGAGCAGAAATAGCTGAGCGTCCAGCTGGTACACTGGGTGCTGCGGCGACTGAGCCTGCGCTGGCGTGAGCCGCGTAATGCCCTTCTAAGATGAGAGTCGCGCTTACGGATTACAGTCATTAGTCGAATCTCGTAGAGGGCTGCACGGCTTGCTGTCGTCGATGCTGTATAGATTTCATCAGTGAGAGAATCGAGATTTACGGTCAATTCTTACTTAGATATACCAACGCTTAAGTGAATCCAGCGACACGGCATTTCGTATGAGAATGTTTAATTCACAGCCCACGATGCTTCCGAACGTCGCATGCGGAAGTGTCGTGGCGAGTTTCCAGGTGAAAACGTTTCCAAAATGGCCCGAGTGACCAGGCGGATAAGCCTCGGCCTCGATGCGACCAAATTGTGATCAAAATCACTAGGTAATAAAAATCACTCCGCGGCTCCAGAACTCCGTCGATACTCGACGCAGCCCGAGGAGTATGGAGATCCACGGGGGAATTATCTTGGAATTCTCGAGCGAGCCCTCAATAGGCACTGATTTTTACATACTCCCGGGAAGCTCAGGGGACGCGAATAGATCTACGATATCGAGCACAAGCATGGGGTGTTTGGGGTCGGCGGCTTGTTTTTCGGGTGAGGTAATCGGAAAATGTTTCTTGGCCGAACCATGCAGCCAAGGTTTGACGTCCCGGATATCATTATTCACATTGCTTCCGAGGACGGATCCAGAGTGCAAATGTGCTGAGGAGGATCAAGGCCGAGTGCCTGCGCTTCCGTACGGAATATTTTGCCGGCAGCGGGGATCGGACCCTTGCCGCCTCCTGAACGAGCAGTTTCGCTATGCACCTTCGCATTGCGAAGTGACATTTGCTCAACCACCCGTCGTTGGGTTAGGGAATCGAAGTCCGCTACCGCGGGGAAATCGTGACGAAAAGGAGCCCCTCGGCCTAAATGCTCCCTTTGGACCTTTCTTCTGAATGCCTGCACCATCGCACGCTATAGATCTGATCCCATCGCCCACCCTGACGATGGGCGAAGGGGAGCATGTCCTCGATATCGGCTCGAAAATTAGCTCCCCACTCCATCCCTCCATTACCGAAGGTCAATGAAGTCCAACACATCTCGATTGCGGTGCGCTACAGCTCGGCCACGGCGCGGCGGCGAGTCAAGTCCGCCTTCCACGTCAGCTCGGCCACCGTTAACAGTGTTTAGGAGACAAGTCTCGGATGTCACATCGCCGGAGGAGCTTTCGCTGGAATGGAGGCTTCTCGACCGGAGCTTGACTGAAGAATTCCGCGCATCCCAGAAAACGGCAACGCGAATGGATGAGCTCTCCGCTATTGCGCATGCTCATCGGATGAATCTTCTGGGCCTGCGCGTTTCTTCACTGAGAATACATTGTGTTCTATCGGTGGAATTCGACGCTTCAATGGATGAATAATTCACTGAACTCATGATGACCATCCATGATGTTCGCCAAAGGAGCGACAACGCGGCTCACAGCCTCAGATGGGCGTCAACAGGACGATAGATCGTGGACGCTGCGCGGAGAATCAAAGGAGGGGAGAAGAAAAATCGAACATTTATTGAATGAATTTCTGCCCTGAATCCAGGAACAGACACTCAGATCACGATGCAGGACCCACAATCCCTTCTGGATGAGATAGCCTCGAGAAGACACTTTCCGATGCGATATCGTCACTGCTTGATAGAGAGTTCAGAAGAGGTTGCTTCCTATAAGTCGAACGGGACGTCCTCTGTACTTGGCTGAAACTTCTGCCTCGATTTCGGAGCGCAGCGCTTTTGCCTTGGCGATGATGGTGTCCAGCTGGGGCTCCAACCTAAAGAGGGGAGTATTAATGGTAATGGTTTATTGGAATGATCATTGATGAAGGAAGCCATCAAATAACTCGGGTTGATTCCGAGTGAAGATCCTCATGAGTGCTGCCGATCAGCCGATTATATGAATCACGTAACATCAGGAGCTTCACCGCTCTGATCTCGCGTTTAGCACGAACCGTTTCTGTTCTTCGAGAGCTTCCTCTCGGTGTGATATAAGCGCTTCTCTGCTTCTCGTGTACTTTTCCGCAAGATGTAATTTGTGCTCCAGTTGTTCCACCTGTGGACGAACAGCCGGGATCAGGGTGAGAACGGAGGACAGATGGACCAAGGATTCTTTGATCCGACATGCTCGAGGTAGATCTGAGCTGCTCACCAATCGATCTACGTATCTTGGCGAGGAATGTATCTGATACAAATGGAGCATTTTCTGCGTAGTCATTGTTTCCAGGAGCTCTTTGATTTCCCGGCTCATTGCGCGCAAAGATTCCACGTTTTGCTTCTGAACGTCCGGAGGAGCATTCTGCATTATGCTGACCAAAAGGACATCTCCTGATGATAAGAGGCCTCAGCGCGTCAACGAGAGTGCTTCATGCATCGCGGATGTATCCGTGTTGAGACCGTTAGAATAGAAAAATCTCACCCTCAATAGACACCTCGGCGATCCTTTGCTGCAAGAAACACTCCAATTCTCGCAGCTCATTCAAGAACATTTCCCGCGTCGTTACATTGTGAAGTACAGATAGAGCATCTGTTCCCTTGGCGACATCGGCTCCACCTTCTTCGCTGCCTGTTCCTCGGGAGAAAATCTGATTACTTCGAGTTGCAGTAACTGGTCAATACCACTATAGACTCGACAAGGTATTTCTTCGACAGTACAGTTTTCCCGCGATCCTCGCGAATCTGCGGGTCGCAGACAAGTATTCTCCGGGGTTCATGAATCCGGCTCTCAGAGGCATCTGGGTATCAAGCCCCCGGGAATCGTGTCGATCCGTTGTGGAGTCTCGTTTCTAGCATTGCCACGAGACCGGCGGAATTCATTCGTTTCGATGAATGTTTGCTGTAACGGGTTCTCTCCATCTCTATCTGTACGACAAGCCACCCAATTTGAGGTAGAAAAAGTGTTCGTTGTACAGAAAGGTCTTTGTAACACTGATGGTCGTCAGATGTTCCTCGTGACGAGATTCCACTGACTGAGTGTCTGATATGAAGCCTGGAAGGAGAAGACCATCGCTATGACTTCTGCACCTACCTAGACTGTCGACTTTGCCAGATGCGTCTTCCTGAACCGATATGTCCCATGAAATGTTGTCATCGACGTCTCCGAAGTCTATCTCCTCCTGTTCTACATGAACGAAGTCTCCATTCGATTGCGAAGTGCCCACGGAGGTTGCCTCATCAACATCTCCGGGATCGATGTGGTCTTCCACGGCCGTTTCCACGTCTACAGGTGAACTCAGTCTCAATTCCTGAACGACGTCAGGCACGCGACCAGTACGCCACTCATAGGTCGTCGTGTTCCCTGGAAAAGGGTCACGATTGAGCCTCCATCCGACGGTGATCTGCGGCGACGGCGAACTCAGGAGGTGAAAAATACCTTTTGTGAGAATGTAATGAATAAGCGGGAGAAACTCGGGGTCTGGCAATTCCTGCCGGAGGGTGAAGTTAATGAAGGATCTATACAGATCTATAATTGGCTGTATGTGCTTCAGACGGGAAACGGCTCCCTCAAATACAGCCGGCATCTCCTTGAGCAGAGAGAGGAGCTCGCTCCGAATATGATGTCCCTGCGCGAGAGAAGAAGCTTTAGAATTTCTCGGAGGCCCATTCCGTGAAGAGGCGCGGGGGTCTGCGATTCCGATTTCCGAACGAAGCCTCACGAACTTTTATTCCCAGGTTTCCACACTCTCTCTCGTACTGAGATTGCATCTCGGCGCAATTCTTGATATACGCCTCTTCTCTCGCAAAACTCTCGTCACGCAACTGATTGTTCTTGTTAATCTGGCGCTTCATAGACGGAACTTCGTAGGACAGGGTTCGAACGAGCTGCTGCGCAGCATCCGCCAAGTAGACATTATCCACCTTCATTGATGAGAACATGGCGTCGATTAGTATATAATGATGCGGTATCCACGAACTGCGATAAGGTTCATGACCGGGGCAGCTTAAAGTCATGTCGAGTATCTCACCCGATACATCTTCAGGATTTCAAGCCAGTCTTTCATCCGCTGGGAACCATAAGAGCCGAAAAAATTCTTGCTGTCTTTCTCTGTATCCTTGAGGATCTCGACGATGCGCTTGCAATTGAAATAATTGATGACTGAAATCCAAGGGACACCTTCCATCATCATACGGCTCGCGAATGAGAGCAGAAGTAGCGATTCAGTAGGGTCTGTGCGAGCCTCGGCGCAGGGTACCTATCATCGAATGTCAGTATACCATGAAACGATAAGTAGGATTCGAGATGAACATACATGAGCCTGACAATAGTTGGCGAACCTCCTCGTTCTCCGGCATGTCACGGATTGCGTGGTTGATCTTCTCTCGGACTGGAGCTACCTGATCTTGCCAATTTGTCGAGCAGTGACGTCTACTGATGAGCCAGTCTTCATGAGGGAAATAATGTCCGAGCTCAATTTTCAAGCCGAACAGATTATTCCGCCTTGGAATCATTCGTGCGACCAGAGAAGAATTCCACCAAGAATCTCCATGTTTTACTCACCCAGAAGCTTGGCAACAGAAATTTCGATAGGGACGTTCGCGTCCTGAAACAGAGACGGAACCACGTCAGAGAAGCCGTGTACTACGATGTGGGACTTTCGGGTCGAGGGACGCGGTCTTGCAAATCGGCTCGAGCTGAGGAATGATGGATCTCAGATCCTACTCAATAATAGAGTTGAGGAATGTCGAACTCCGCCAGCCGGTGCTAGGCGCATCTTCCAGTGCTTGAAGATCAGTTGTACCTCAGCGGCGAAAAACTGAGATAGGGGCGGCTTATCTATGGTGTTCGAGATGATCGAGCAACAAATTCCAACAGGCCCTTAACCGCGGTCTGATTGGTGTATTACTAACTACGAACTTACACCCATAGCAGCACAGAATTTCGAACGCCGTCAAGAGAGGAGACCATATGTTCCACCACCACTGTTTCGTAGGTAGAAGCCTACCCACGGTGGGACGGAGCAGCGCTCGTCTGACACCGACGATAAAGGGAAAGGGAGCGGTGAGAGAGAACTCTACGAATGAACATCAGCTGATGCGAGCCGTGGATTCGAGCCATGAATGTCAGTCAAGAAGCTGACTCTGACTAGATGAGAATGCTGAATTCTCGGGTCCCTCGGAAATGGATCATGGCGCGAACATGATTCTAGGCAACCATCCTGATTGAGGATACACAATGGAGTTACGGCCTCGATATATGAGAAAGGGCCTAGCCTACCTGACATACAACATCGGAGGACGCGGCAGGCCTTGGCTTCTGTGACACATCCTTGTGACACCGACAGCCCGTGCTTGAGTCCTTGTCGTTTGTCTTCATTCCTCATTAAGCATTAGGGAGCCCTCGAAAAGACTCCGGATGATCGAACGGATAGCGCACCAGATCAGGGGAATACTTCAAGAAGAGGAACGTTCAAGAAAGCAAAATCGGCGCGGCGCCGACACCTCCGTCCGAATCCGCGGTAGGAGCACTTTCTGGACCGCTCGTCATGTGAATGCTGAACGGAGTCTCACTCAATGTCCTGTGCATCAGCTGATTGATGAGAGGTTGGGGATACGAACGCCCCCCGATCCCGAGTGGATGGTCAAAGTCCTTGGCTGAGTCAAAATGGGTCGTCCGGGCCAAGAACGAAGCGCAGCCGCTAAAGGGAAATTCAATTCTACCAGTTTGTCGCTAAATTCGTCCTCAGTCGAATCGAGGGTGAGAACCTGCATCTATAGTTCAGCATGAGAACGCAAATTCCTGCGAGAAGATTCGTCCCTCCAGTACCCTACATCCTTCGGCGTTCATTGGTCACCATGAAGCCCCGAGGAAACGCTCAATGGTGCCAGGTCTCCGCTCACAGAATCATGTGGGAACGACCGCGACAAAGACGGGCTCCAGTCGCCGGAGGAAAACTCTCGATTAGAGACTTCAGGGGTTTGATCATCTAGGGTTCTAGCATATTCAGGCGGGCACCTCCGGCGAGTTGCAGCATCGTTCGGCGAAATCCTGACGAGTGCTCCCTCAAAGCAGAAGGACACAGCGTTGACTTTCTGCTGGAGGTATCTCCAGTGTAGCCCGACACAATGTATCGCAGTCTCAGTCGCAACAATCCCTGAGGGAATTCCCTTCTTGTGTGGCTGCCGGTGAAGTCAGTCTGTGTCAATATACAATTAACCTCGTGATTTCCTCTTCGTCTACATGACGCTTTTGGCTGAGAGAGACCGACATACCCCGCTATGAATGCAGCAGACCGCGGTGTCCTTTGTGGTGGCTTTCATATTCTATGGAATGGTGGCTGGGCATTATGAACCATTGAATAAATCGACTCTTTGCCAGGTTTTCTCGCATTATATTCACAATCGTATTGTACACGGAGCGGAAAGCTAAGGTGAAAAGATGAGGAAATATTGTCAACAAAGTTGTGAGTTTCTCCCTAATATGTTTTCCATTTCATTCCTATTCCTTCTCGTCTCAGTCACTTCCTAGGCTTGGTCGTATTTACATGACAGAAGATTCTCTCACGAGATTTCGGAAAGCGGCATTGTGAGAGAAGCGATCCCTCGGCTCCGACAAGGGCTATCCCTTGAGCGCGCGAAAATGCTCCTCAAGTCTGGTATCGGCTCTATGTACAGAGGGATGTATTGGGTATCGCGCAGGCAATACCTCAGAACAGTCACAGACGGGGCCTGCCTCTGTTGTGGATTGCTGAACATTCGTTCGGGACAAAACTATCGACGTTACAAATATTATTAATGTAGAGCATCTGTGGTCCGAATGTGCTCATTCCGAGCTGGTTTAAGCGATCATGGATCGAAGTCCGCAGATTTATGCTCCTATGAAGATTGCACCGGGACAAGTGGAGGAACTATTCGGTCTTCTTGTAATCGTAGGCGAAGGCCTCATGAGTGTCTGGCTCGAGGACTCTGGCGTGAATGATTGATTGCACAACCCACTCCGATGACACTGGAGCGATTCTCAGAGCACGCGCCGATCGCAGAGTTAGACTTGAACATTCGGGCGTCGTGACCATGAAACGGATGACCCCATCGGTGCCATTCGAATTCGAAGCTGTTCTCTCTGAAAACCAAATCAGCCGAGGTCAATTATTGTACGACGAGAGCCGTATCTGATGAGGGTGGCGAAGGAATTCGCCGCGGGCTCTGCTACAACTTACGCTGAGGACTTTGCCGCTGAGGTAGTTTAGAAGCGATTCGACCGCCGGCCGCGATGATCACCTGAGACCAAGTGTTCACGAATTCATTCTTTTCAGCGACGACGGCAATTGTCATATCCTTGAAAATGAGTCTGTGCGCCGATGGCTGCTCGATTGGGACCTGGAAAATAGCATGGTCTCGTCATCCGAATTCGCTATTCGATTGTCTATCTCCCTCAGTCATTGATATCACGAGATACTGTTGGGCAGAGGCCGTCATTGCTTACCTTCTGCATTAGCGAAATCCCCGCGGGCAATTGGTACTTGGCGGGCTCCGGCATGCGACCTTCCCGCAGAGCTGCGTGTACTATTTGATGGCCCAAACATCGTATACCAGCAGCTAGACACAGCACGTATTTCAACGTTTTCATGTGACTACGTGAGAGAAGATAACGCTCCGCAATGCCCGTGTCTAGGGAGTCGGCACACTCCGCTTCCGTGAATGATTTGAAAACTACACCGCCGTTCTCCTCAATGAGATTTTGCAGCTGTTCTTTATTGAATTCGACGGTTTCTCCGAGAGAGCTGCCAGATTCGAACGAGGAAGTTGATGAGCTCTTGTTGTTCTTCACTGCTCTCTCGGTATCCGTCAGAAGGAATCCCATCCCCTCGAATACCAATGTGGGAGGATTCAAGCTCGACCCCGAAGCTCCACCTCCCGACTCTGACGCGATGACGCTGGGATTTTCCATTTTCGAGCTCCTTTTGCTGGGTCGTATCACTGCGGTCGTATCACTGGCCACACCCTCGGAACTCGTGACGTCCAAGCCGATGGCCTGGGGTCGTTTCACTCGAGTTTTTCCTGAGGTTTCGAACTCTGGAAGGCGAAGAGAAATTGTTACTCCACTCCGGATTTTGAGCTCTCAGATGATTCGTACGAGTTGAGCATCCACCGACCTGACGCATCTGTGGACTCTCTCACACGAGCGATCTCGCGACTGGAGATCGTCTTTGACTGTTTCTCCTTGAGTACGTCAACCATTTCTTGGGTGAAAACGATCTTGTCTTTGGTAACACGTACGACACGTTTCGTATGAAGTTCGGCTGCATAGCCCGGCCGTTGCGATACTGTTGTCCTGGAGAGTCAATAATTACTTTCTGATCCAAGGCATAGACTTTCCCATGTGAGAGGACATGTTCTTCTCTATACGAGAATCAAACTTTGCCTGGAAACCCCCTCACGGATTTTTTGATTGGACTTCGGTTTCCGGCTTTAATATTCTTGAGCTCTCGGAGTAAGCGGAACACACTCACTTGTCTTTGATGACGGCGTACTCGAAGACGTTCCTGACTTTTACGTAAACGGGCTGCCCACTTTCCAGCTCAGCTTTGAGAGGGAATAGAAGATCACCTTTCACCGATTCTTGGGTACCATCAGCGAATTTCACCCCGTAGCGACCGTTTCGACTCGACTTGATCACAGTTGCCATGTAATAAAGGTTATCCGACCATTGAGCCAGACACGGGGAGCCAATGACTAAACGAGAGTTCGAAGTGGGATCCGCAAGCTCGGTCGACCTGGAATTGACCCAACGTTATGCGAGGACTGCGTCCGACAATTTCTCAAAAACATCTGAAAGCCATCTAGCAAATGCTATAGTCGGCGAAAAGGTACACACTCATTCGCGGAGGAGATCGTCCGAGCTGGATCGCACGGAGGCACGATTGCGCCTTCCGGTTGCTTCTTTTCCGGCGAATGCCTCTCATCTTTCCCAAGCTTCGGCTCCTTGAATTCAGGCTCCGGATCCGAGCTCTCCCCATGAGCTTTGCTAGTTGTATCGACGATCGACTCATCGTTTTGTTTCGTCGGTTCTGTAGAAAACCTCCTCGGGTGACGATCCGGAGCATCGGACAGGCTCCCTCGGGGAGAAGTATTCTTCCCCGCTACTTTCAGCGGTACTTCAAGCCCGGAAGTTTCCTCCGCGATCAGCGAAGTCTTCTCATTTCGGTCGCCGGCCTGCACCACTTTTTCGACGGACTTCCGATTCTCAGTGGATGGTTCCCGACTCGTGGCTTGGGAACTGGATATATCGGCGAAATTATCCGATGTTTGGGAGCACAATGGAGCCTGCAAGACCCGCAACATATTCTCGAATTCTTCCTGAGTCAGACGCCTGCTTCGTTCGAGACTGTGCTCTTTTTGGATCATTTGACGCCGGATGATTTCACCATTTCTCTCGAACACCTGTGGAAGATGATGATCTTAAAGTTGATTGCGATCTGCTTGATGACATCTAGAGACCTATGAAACCTTGAGAGGAAGTCACATAATGGAATTATGTTGGCGTCAGACTCCGAACTGCTTACTTGTTCAGTGAAGACTAGACGGTACTCTTTCATCGAAATGGGTCTATTGCTTGTCGTCGAGGGTAGACTGCTAAAGGAAGAACTTCCGAGACGCGGTGATTCCCGAGGCTGAGCCGGTCCGTTGCCATTATATATAATGCTCTCCAGAGGTGTGCTCTGAGCTTGGATGTTCCCTGAGGGGATTTCCGCATCGGTGCCGAAAAGTCTCGACTCGACCGCTCTGTCTGTTGATTGGCTTATTGGTCGACTTGGGAGGCTGTTCACTTGTTCACAAGCCCTGTCGTCGCCTTGAGCTATACTCTGATCCAAAGTTTCCTGGATCAGAGAGATACTCTGGGCAAGATTGGAGTTGTCGTCGGGGGGATCAGGCGTAGATGCGAAATCAAAGCTCTCCGATATACCCCCAAGCAGCTCAGTCTTCGGTTCCAAGCCGCTTGGGAAAGAACCTGTAAAACATAAGTTGTACCAAGAGTGAGGAGGCCGATCAGGTGATCAGGGACGGTCCGCTAAATTTATGACGATCACGAGAGGATCCTGCGAGCTGACCAATCTTCTGACAGTCTTACATCGCTGGAGCACGCCCCGAAGCTTTTTGGCAAGCTTACCTTCTAAGCTGGATTTGAAGAGCAGGCTGTCGCTTCCGTTGAATGACGACCCGTCGAGACGCGCTCTCTTCCCGGAGCTGCCCTGAATTGAGCCCGCACTCGGTGAACACTGACTCGCCTGACGTTTCGTTGCCTCGAACGGTTCACTGAAACCTACGTTGCGCCAGGACTCATCGAGGACGGGGGGACATTCGAGGAGATTGCCGCTTGATGGCACAGAGTCGGTGATCGACTCTGTCTCGACCGCCCGAGCGGTAGGAGCTTGCAGAAAACTCCCGAGGTACAGCGGATAGTTCAGAGAGAAATCCATGGATGAATCCGAAACGTTGTTCCTTCAATGACGTCCAAAGTCAAAAGTGGAACCCCTCAATAAACCTGACTTGCACTCATCTCAGTGTGAAGAGGAGACAATTCGTAAACAAAGCACTAACGGTTCCGGTCCGGCAGAGAGGAGTCGGTTGCTTTCTGAAGACATCGGGGAAGCGATCGGAGCCTGATTCATCCGGGAATCCCAGCTGAGAAATCGGAACCAGGCTTCATATCTTCCTCTGGCTACGGGGCATTGTATATCCCCGCTAGCACTTCTCTAACAACGACACCATTTTGTTCGACGTCTCTTGCCGTTCATAGATCAGACTTTCTATGAAGATTCCCCTTGAGACATTCGGTTTTTTAAACGAGATATCGGTGTACCCAGCGGTACGACAGGCACGGTGTCTCCAAGATACTCTCCCGTAGTGTGGGAGGAATGGGCTCAGAAAACGACGACAAACAATCGTCAGGCGGCCAAGTGGTAGGATTTCTGATTGGTGGTGGCAGCTAGCAGACGAATTCCAAAGAGACAAACAGACCTAGCCACCGCTGCTCTGGATATGCAGGATGAGGCGCGAAAATATGAATGCCAACGGGCTAGGAAAACAAGGCTGGATTAATCTCCATCCGCCCGATGATGCAGCCGGAGATCTGCAGTGGGACGACATGATAGACCGATTGGTCACTGACAAGCATAAGAACAAAGAAACCATGAACCCGTTCATGTCGGGAGTCGGGAGGTCCTCGATTTCCCGAGTCACCGATTCGACGCTCATCGCCCATATAATCAGATATGCATATACCTAATGCTTGATATGAACGGTTGCATCCCTGCCCCTGTCCCCTCTAGGAAAGAGGTTCCCGAAAATGGTACATCGCGGTTTCTGGGGGTCCGAAATGGCGATTTCCTCTGGGTTACCACAGGATCCATCATGGGAGGAGCCTCCACAGCGCGTAGGGTCTATTGATATAATGCCAAAATTCAGGAAGGAAGTACCTGCCGAGGTCCAGGCGGGGGTCCTCGGCTTCAAGAACGCGGAGAACTGCTCTCGAGCTCTGAAGACCTCGTTCTTTGATCACCCAGATATTCAAAAGTTCAAAAGGCGATATCTGTTGTGGGGTGTCCGACCGAGGAGGAAACGGCCCCGCCAAGGACCCCGCTTAGGCTTATAGGCATCCAAGGTAATGCTTCAAGCAACCGCGTCGCCGATATTCCGTGTATCTCTCTGCAGAGAAGCGCTTAAGTGACGTGATCGACTTGCACGTCTGCCTAATCAACGCCGCTTTGCACCATGCAACCGAGAGATTGCGGGATAGAGGCCTCCGCGATCATTCTAATGATCGCGGCAAGAGGCTGTGAAGAAAGTGGGGTCAACCGAGGGCAAGTATATTTTTTCCTAATTTACGGTTCGAATATAGGATCATAATCTTGACTAAGTCTACTTCTGCTGCATAAGAATCAGAGAGCCTCGGCAAGGGTGTCCGGCCGAGCAACTCGGGTATCGGTGATCCCCCTTCCTCCTTCAGGAGAACGCCGACTAGACATTCACCGAAAATGTCCTGTTTCTTCCGCTTGCTCGCACTCTCACTCCCTTTTGGTGGCTTTTTCCTCGTCGAAATGCTTTATTCGTTGGCGATCGACAACGATGTGTCTCTTTTCATTTCGTTACACGTCATTACGTTATTGCTTCCTTCCGAAATCGATTCCCAAATGGACCGTCGCGAGCCCGAGGTCCTTTTCCAGATCAGCGGGACCCTCAACAAGAGGACCGTTTGGTGCCACTCCCGGGGACGATACAGAAAAGATGACGGACTGGGAGTCGCGGACTTCATGTTCCACAGAGAGAGCGTTACGAACACCGGAGACCTCCTAATTAGGTGTAAAAAGTGGCGCCCGTAAGTCCTTGCTCGAGCTCATGCGAAAGCAGCAGTCAATCGTGAAGCCGTCATTTACGTGATTGCTCAGTCCGAGAGTCATCTATCGATGACGGTTGAAGTGGACCGGTTTTTATTACAGACCCGAGGGCTGTCCTGTGCGTGCTAAGATACGGCCCACGGGCGAATTGCTCAGGATTAGTGAAGATCCGCACAATCATAGTCCTGAGTTTGGTGGCAAAGCTTCGGAAGTACTCCCGGCGCGGGCGGAATGGCTCCAGACACTCAGGGAGAACCCGCGCAACCCGCCGATGAGAACCATCATCGCAAAGCGGCGCAGGTATTGCCCGATGATGATGTATTAAGCCGGAATCTTTGGATATACTGCATACGGTTCTTGACTGAATCCGATTTACTAAATCAAATCCAGGCTCTCGCAAGGAGCCGCAGACGAGATCGTCCCAGTGAGGCATCTTCGTACAGCACGGCGCGTGGCCGCCTCGGTCCGGCCACCGCCCGTGCAAACTTTGACCGAACTCCACCGTCGTTCGCAAGGGGCTTTGTCGCCAACTCCTCACGATACACGGCAACTGGGGAGGCTTCGTGAGTTCTTGAGATACTAATATTAACTCTTGGGACTATTTTGAGTGCTGAGAAACACAAATGCAAGAGCGTTCTCTTCAGTCGACTCCTTTCTTTCTCCAAGGTGGGGATGGCAGCCGCCGCCTTCATGAACCGCTCTACCACCGGAGCGTACGCTGAGGTGTTCCGCTGCTTGAAGCAGGAGGTGCCGGAGCTCGCGGTCACGGTGTACATGGGTGACTTTGACGGAGCTATGCGAGCCGCAGTGGAGGCTGAGTTTCCGGGCGCGCGCATCTTAGGATGCTACTTCGACTTCGCTCAAAGTCTGGTGAAGCGCGCCAGCTCGCCCGCTGTCGGCCTCGCTAGCGAAATCAGGCGCCCAGGTCCCGTCACCGCGAGTTTCCACGCCTTCCTGGTTCTGCCCTATCTACCGGCGGAAAACATCGACGCGGTCTTCGAGGAGTGCGCACAGGAAGCGCTCGCGACAAGCTCCCGGGTGAGCTGCGGACCTTTTTATTATCCTATACCTGGGCCTTTCCAGCATACGATATCCTGAAAATCAGACAGAAAATACTCTCGCACGAAAACCGAGAACGGCAAGGATTCCTCGGTTTCAGTCATCACTGAGAAAAATTCAGTTCTCATGGTCCATTCTCCATTTTCAGCCCCTGGTTGAATACATCCGCAGCCAGTACGCTTGTTGAATCAGATGACTCATGTATTCTCGGCGATTGAGAAAAAAGAGTACGGTCGACTGTGCAAGTTCGCCAAGAGCAAGAATATCAAGATCGACGAAGAGCGTGGAGCCGAAAAAACCTGACGACGATGGCGATGATGAGAACTAATTGACGAGGACCACGTTCCGGAATTCATTAGCTAGAAAAATTTTAAATATGCATGCCGGTAGGGTAAATGCAAGAGCGGCTCCCCATTTTATTCAAATCAGCGTGTTTTTCATTGATTGCACTGTATTACAAGCACCATTCTTAAGTTATCGAAGGTGAAGTTCTGACGGCGATCGCTGAAGATTTGTTTCGATATGGACAAACTTCCTCAATTTATGGTTGTCGAGTTTCCGTAGAGGTATACCAGCTGACAGTATCGCCTCGCACAATTCGAGGTTGAATTGCGAGCTCTTTCCGGAGGCCACCAGGAAGGGTGTGATTCGCACTACGTTCGACGTCCTCGCGAGCAACTTCTTACTGGATGAAGCTCTGTGCTTCATACCGTTCAGATGCTGAGTTACAAGAAATCTTTTCTCGGTCGAAACTTCTTTTTCACAGACTCGGCAGAGTAAGACCCGGCCAACCCCTGGGAAGCTCGCGAGAGATTCCGTCGCCGATGACAAGCTTATGCCTGGTATCGCAAAGTCATTTGGATCGTTTTCGAGAGTCGTTGGATGCCTGTTTTCTGTCTACAACGCCTCAATCTCTGCCTGAGATGCCCACTTCACGTTTCGGATGCCCAGAAGCCCTCTTCTGGTGCCTATTTTGCCTTTCAGTGCCTATTGTGCCCCCTAGGACCTGTTTTGCCTGTTTGGTGCCTATTTCGTCTTTTCAGTGCCTATTTCGCCTATTAGGTGCCTATTCCGCCTCCTCCTTGCTTACTTTGCCTGTTTTTGACGCTCTTTCCGCCTTTTTCTCTGCCTACCTTCGATGCCTATCTCGCCCTGCTTTAGAGGCCTATATTGCCTACTTTTTGGGTGCCTGAATTTCGAAGCTCTACTGATTACCGATGAAGATAGACATCCGGCTTGCTAGAACCCCTCTGGATTTCCTCGGTCGTGATCGAGAAACCTGACGAGGAGGAGCCTTGAGCGGCCGTGAGGAATCAGGACCTCAGCGTTCGGAATCGTCGGTCAATCGAACGCTCCAGCCTACGGATCGTTAATCGTCAGCAACGCTGCGGGGCGAAACCCTCCCCGTGATTTCGGCAAGGTGGCAATTCGAACGTATGGATGTAGCTTCGTCCTCTTTTCGAAGGATTCGGTCGTTTTTGTTCACTGAGCGTCTTCCTGGACCTCAGACCATACTCGCAATCTATACATGTTCACCACCTGAGCATTATGAGACCCGGGAAAATTGCTTTCGGGACGCAGAAATCAGCTCGAAGCCATTTATATGTATCCGATGCATCGCACGAGGCACGAGGCTACGTCTGAATATCCATGGACCGGGATCAAGACAAGGAGACCATCAGGCAAGTCATTTTGGGCCCAAGCGATCGCTCGCATCAGCAGGGGCAATGACAGCCAGCATTTGCAGATTCCACAGCGTTTGCAGGGTGCTGATTCCAAGCGGAAAAGTTGAGGACCCCAGGTACTCTCTGCTGCCCGTCCTGGGAGGGAATCCGGCCGTTGTGCTAGTCTTCCCCTTTCCCGTCTGGGGGCTTCATGATGTGCGCGTTTCGGCCTCGAAAAGCGAGGCAAAGAAACGAGAGGATGACGACCAGTGTGGGGCAAATTTTGGCCGTGATTATGATTATGGTTTTACCGTAATCATACGCTTGAGTATGATTATGACCGTAATCATACGCTTGAGTATGATTATGACCGTAACTCCAATCTATGGATGTTCCAACAGCCCTTGAGCGGTTTTACCCTAGCCTTTGCCATCATGAAAGTCACCCGAGCGCGACGGTCCTCCATGAATTTCTTTAAATACACGACTGCTCCGTAGCTGAGGAGACTAGCATCGGAGAAGACGTGCAGTTCCCGTCGGACGACCCCCTGATGAGAAGAAACCAGCCTGTCGACGCGGATGGATCCTGCCTGTTCGAGCTGATCACGGAACAATTGGAAAGCCTGGAGATTTTCGCCCGAAAGCTCTTCCGTCCAATCTCTTCTCTCGCTCCACAGCGTCTGGAGGAGGATTTTGAAGTTTATGGAAATCGGAACTACGACGCCCAGCGGATCAAAAATATGAGAAAGACCTCGGAGGACTGACATTTTCGTAGGAGGCTCGACTCGGAGTTGTGTCAACGCGTTGTCCACGAATACTCCGATTTTATCCTGGGGTTGATCCCAGAGGATACCCAACATCTTGAAATTACTGTCCTGGAAAGTCACCTGAGCTTCCGGGAATTGGTTCCTCATGAACGTACCCCGAGTCGCCGAATTGGTTGCCCATTTCATGAGAGGGAATTTCCCATTCGCGAATACCTGGGATAGAGTTTCAACTCTGTGCTTGCCCTCTAGGACATCAGACGCCCCGGAGAAAATATCGTCCATATAGAACGAGTTCCTGACTTCTTGAAGTCCATCTGCATCCTCGGGGCGGTTCCTGATCTCTGAGTCGAGATGGTATCTCAAGCCCGCGCAATGCAAAAATGGAGAACAAACCAGGCCGAATTCCAATGATCTTCCCCAGAACTCCCTCACGGGAGCGTTTGGGTTTTCCCCTATCCCGATCGGCCAAAAGAATCTCAGGAGGGTACGATGCTTCGGATTTATCTGAAACTGCAAGAACGCTTCCTGAATATCTGACACGATGGCTTTGTGCGAGCGGAAGAAGATCAGAACCTTGAGAATTTCAGGTAGTAAACTCGGTCCGCAGTGAAGGACATCATTAAGAGATGCTTCGTCCCGACTTCGCGCCGCTGCGTTTTTGACCACTCTGATTTTCGGGAGTTCGGGTTTGGATATGCTCGACTTTTTTGCCACGGCCATAATCGGGAGATAGTGAGCTGGTTGCCCTTCTGTGCGCTGCGGAGCCGGCTCGGCGAAACCCGACGCGATGCAGTCTTTAATATCGTTGTCGACGGCGATGATCAACTTTTGATTTTCCCGATAAGATTTCAAGAAATGAGAAAGGCAGCTACGAGCCAGCTTCTCATTATCACCTAAAGAGCCGACATTCTCCCTGAAGGGAAGAGAAACAGTATAGTTTCCGTCTGGCCTCTTCTCAATTGTCTCCTCTACGAAACGTTCAAGCTTTGCCTCAGTTTCATCGTCGTCTTTCTCCATGGTCAGGCCGAGCCGTTCCATGTCCCAGAGGAAGTCGATCTGTTGTTCGAGCTCAGCCGCTAATTCTGCACCCCGCTTCGCGTTGTTCTGAATTGGATACTTCTCGGCGGAGTGTAGGGCCAGAAGAGCCGTAGAAATCGCCGACGAGTCGTCGACCGAGTCGAGTCCATTGAAAAACCACCCGAAGATGGTATCGATAGCCACCATATCTTTAAATTCGTGCGAATTTTTTTGCTTGAGGGTTGGAATGGCGTTCGCGCCCAGAACTACTTCGATTGTCCTCGGGAACGAAGGATCCTCGGAATCCGCGACCGGAAATAGTCCGAGCGAGTTTAGGATGACCGGGAGGGTACCTTCGGAAATTTCTGCCAATACGGTGAAGCGCACCTCGATCCGCGAGTCCGAGAAACGACTCTTCAGCGAAATGACATGAATATCGTATTCCTGAATCTCTGATGCTCAATAGTCTGAGCCATTCGGTGCCGACCTTCTTTGATTTGAGCCTTTCAACCAGAGACTCAGAGCAATATGACCTCTGGCTGCCCGTATCAATTAATATTCTGCAAATGGCCGAGTTCTCCCGATTCATAGCCTCTACATGACCGGTCAGAAGGACCTCCGTCTGTTCAGACCTGATTTTCTCGCTGATCCCAACAAAGTGCGACTGAGAAACCGACCCCGAAAATGCATGAGTGGTCCACGGCAGCCGAGTGACCAGTCGCGAAGGCCGTCGATTCAAAGCTCTGAGGTTGGGATTGAAAACTCGCGTCCCCCTGATTGCTCGATAACGAGCGGTCGAACTTGTTACGACGGTCGCCGTTGGAAGGAAATTCGATTTTGGGTTGACTCGACTCCCTCTTACCGCTGAAACGCGAGGGTTTTGAATCCTATTTATCGAACCCCACCGATTCCCTTCCGGCGTCTGCGATTCGTTCCAAAAACTTCATCATTTTTTCCAGGTCGGACTCTCTCGATTCCTCCTCGGAATGACGGTCCTTGACCCATAGGGAAAACTGTTCTCTCCGCCGCTGGGGTAATGCTTCGAGGATAACCGGAAAGATAGTCGTTGACAAAGTTCCGTACGAACTACCTAGGGCGATAAGCGCTTTGATATTCATCGAGATCTGAGTGGCGAAATACAATAACTTATCGTGTCGCTGTGGATCCTTCTGGCCGCAGATCTTCATGATTGCCAGCACATGTTCGGAGTTGGCATCCCTCACTTTGCCGAAACGATCCTTCAGGAAGTATCTGACTCGGCTGAAGAAAAACCCTGCGCGTTTCGCAACTCTCTTCAACCAACGCTCGACGAACACACGATCAGGTACCATCGTATCGCCCAAAGCAATAGCGCACAGTGAGAAAGTTAGACACCTGTAGCCCTGGAGAGTCACCGACGTGTATTCCGAAAATTGATGTAACAATTTGATGGGATGTATATAACCATATCTGTGATCCTGACGCACACCCAATCCATCCTCGAATAATGAACGAGATTTCGAATTCAATGAGTTTGAGATCCGCTATGGCTAGAGCTGCTTGGCCGGTGACTGAGAGTTTCAGCAGTCTGAATTTTTCGGTCAATGGAAGTGACTTCGAGTCAACCAGAAATTCGAAATGTTGCCACCAGTCCCGATATCTTCTCACGTCGCCGCTGAATCTAGGGATGTCCGAGACCCTCGGAGCATGGGTGACCAGCATTGTAGGTTGATGATTTCCCGCGACGGCTGACTCGACTGAAGTTTGGGACGTGTCCCCTGAATTCGCAGTCATGCCGCAGGCCCTTGACGCTCTTTCCACGAAATCTCGGAGTTCCACAATGATGGATTGGGTCGATTGACGGTACCGGAGAGCGTTTTCCACCGACAACTCGAATCGGGTCGGTTGACACGCTGAAGTCAGCGGTAGTAGGATTTTGTCGAGCTCGG